GTGCTTGAAGCTCAGCTATGGCAGACGGAATTCCTAAAAACTTACAGTCGACGTTCGACGAAGCTTGGACGACGACCAGGCCATTGGGGCACGGCCCTCCTCTGGGTTTCCCTGGCCCATCGCAGACTCCGGTCACTCCTACTCCGATCCCGCACGGTGTGGGAACGACTGCGACAAACCTCGGAGGAGATGCCGGTTCCAATCGCGCCCAGGAGGCACGAGCAGCAGCGACGATGGAGATGCCGCCCCCACCACCTCACAACCCGGTGGTGGTCCAACCCAGAGATGTGGCGATACAAGGTGGAGCTCCGCCTCCAGTAGCTGGACAGGCCCCCGGTCAACAAGTGGTTACGATGACCCAGGAGGAGATGCAGAGGATAGCAGCGGCCGCGGCGGCGCAAGCGGTGCAGCAGGTCGCAAGCCACACATCGCACGCCACCACTGCACCGACAACGGCAACGGGAAACCAAGATGAGGATGTGTCCAGCTATGGAGAAGGAGGAGTTGCGAGAGATCGTGCGATGGAGAGGATGGCGGAGCAGTTGCGCCAGTTGCAAGACAAAGTTGAAGGGAGGCCAGAGAGGAGGGCTCGAGGGCATCCTTTTGCTAGGGAGATCCTCGCCGCTCCTTTGCCGGCCAATTTCAAGGAGACCAACTTGGTGTATGACGGGTCATCGGACCCGTCGAGGCATGTGAGGACTTTTGAAAATATGGCTGTGTTGCATGGATATTCTGATTCTGTTTGTTGCAGAGCATTCTTATCGACCCTACGCGGGGGGCGCTTGACTGGTTCCATCAGTTACCCTCGGGGTCGATTGTGGATTTTGAGGATTTCGCCAGCAAACTCACCAACCAATATTCGAGCGCGGTGGCGCAAGAGAAGACTTACTTGACCCTTATGGCGATGAAACAGGGCGAGAAGGAGTCGTTGAGGAAGTATGTTGCTCGATACAATAAAACATGTTTGGAAGTGCACTCTGCTTCAGATGAGGTGAAAGCGGGAGGATTGATTAGGAGTCTTCGAGCAGGGCCTTGCCGAACTTCTTTGGCAAAGACCCCGGCTCGATCATATGAGGATGTTCTAAAGCGATGCAGGAAATACATCAATCTGGAGGAGATGGAGATGGAGTTTGCAAAGCTCTAAGGGGTGTCCCAACCAGAACCAAAAAAGGAGCAGAACCACCCGAGGGGAAGATCACCAAGGAGAAACTCGCCTAAGAGGAGCGAGCGGAGGAGAGCGTCTCCTCGAAGAGGGAGTGGGGATGCGAAAGGGGAGAAGAGAGATGAATGGTAGAGGAGGCCGATGGTGTTCGAGAGGCAGAGGTACCACAACTTTACTCCTTTGAGGAAAGATATGACAGAAGTGCTCGAGGCCATGGAACAGAAGATGTCAACTGAGGACGTAACTTGGCCAAAGAAAAGGTTCACCGGTCCACTTCGGCCCCGGTCGGATTTGTATTGTCGATTTCACAAGGATTACGGCCATACCACGGAGAACTGCAGGCATTTGAAAGATGAGATTGAGAGGTTGATTCAGGCAGGATATCTGAAGGAGTTTGTCTATCACGACAGGGTGAGAGGAAAAGGCAGGAGGAGATGTAGAGATGATTCCGAGGAGAGGAGTGATAGGGATGGAGAAGGAGATGGAGGGGATGGCCGAGGAAAGAGGTCGAGAAAGGAGGGAGATAGAGAAGGGCAAGGAGGAGGGGCCCCGCCGAAGAGAGGAACGATTTACATGATTTCTGGGGGGCCAACAGATGGTGACTCGAACAGATCGAGGAAGGAGCATGCGCGAGCGGTGAAAAGAAAGAGAGAGGAGGTGGGGATAACAACGCGCATGCTAGTAATAAGTTTTAAGGCGGAGGATGCCGAGGGGGTAGTTTTACCCCACAATGATGCTCTGGTGATAACCGCGGAGGTTGCGGGTTTTTATGTAAAGAGGGTGTTTATTGATACCGGGAGTTCGGTGGATGTCATGTTCTATGACTGTTTCATGCAGATTAACAAGGAGCTGAATATGGAGCTGAAGCCGGTAGCCACGACGCTTTTTACGGCGTTAATGGAGGAGAAGTTATGCCGATGGGGGAGGTCAGTTTGCCCATGGCGCTGGGGTCAGGTGAGCTGAGGAAGGTGCGCATGGTGAGATTCGTGGTGGTAGGGGCTGAGTCGTCCTATAACATCATTATGGGGCGGACGAGCTTGAACGCATTCCAGGCAGTCGTATCCACGTACCACATGACGATCAAATATCCGATGGGCGAAAATGTAGAGGGAGATTGCCGGGGATCAGCTCACTTCGAGAAGCTGCTACCAAACAACAGTTAGCAATAACAAACAATTGGCGAAGAGACAGGCCGAGTTGAAGGGGGAGAAAATCAATCGACCAGGAGGATCAAGATCGAAGGAGGAGAAGCAAAAGGTGGAGAAAGGTAAGGAGAATATGGACATCCAGCCTGGAGGAGAAGTTGAGGAAATTCAGATGATCGAGGGATGCGAAGGTAGAAAGTTCAGAATCGGGAAGGATCTGGAGGAGCCCATTCGGTCGAGGCTGATCGATTTGGTAAGGGAGTTCGCTGATATTTTTGCATATACAGCAGAGGAGTTAAAGGGAATAAGTGCGGAGGTGATCGAACATCGACTAAATATCGACCTCAACGTGAGGCCGGTGAAGCAGAAAAGGAGGCACCATGGGGCGGAGATGGACAAGATTATCGAGCAGGAGGTCGAGAAACTATTGGGAGCGGGGCATATTAAGGAGATTCAGTTCCCTTAGTGGCTATCGAACACGGTGATAGTGTCGAAGTCGGAAGGAAAATAGAGGATGTGCATTGATTTTCGTGACCTGAACAAGGCGTGCCCGAAGGATCTATATCCACTGCCCAGAATCGACCAGCTGGTCGACTCAACGGCAGGGTGCGAGTTGCTGAGTCTGATGGATGCATCCCAGGGGTATCATCAAATCCCCTTGGCTAGAGAAAATAGGAAGCGGGTGAGTTTCGTGACGAGTCGAGGGACCTATTGTTACGTGGTCATGCCGTTCGGTTTAAAGAATGCGGGTGCCACGTATCAAAGGTTGGTCGATAAAATTTTCAAGGAGCAACTGGGAAGGAATATGGAGGTATACGTGGATGATATGTTGATGAAGAGTAAGGACGAATTGGATCATGTGCGAGATTTGAAAGAAACATTCTTAACGTTGCGGAGATACGGGATGAAGCTGAATCCGGCTAAGTGCTCTTTCGGGGTGAGGTCGGGAAAATTTTTGGGCTATCTGGTGACCAAGAGGGGTATTGAAGTCAATCCGGAGAAGGTTCGAGCTGTGATGGAGATGAAGTCACCAACAAACGTAAAAGAGGTGCAGATTTTAGCCGGTCGAATTGCGGGGCTGAGTCGTTTCATATCGAAGGTGGCGGAGAAGAGTGGCCCATTATTCAAAACCCTGAAGAAGAGCGCGAAATTCCAATGGACGGAGGAGGCGCAAAAAGCATTTGAGGAGCTACGAGGGGTGTTGGCCAACCTCCCTTTATTGGCCAAACCCGTGCAAGGAGAGGAGCTGGTGCTATACATTTCTATCGGGGAGAGAGCTGTAAGTTCGGTATTGTTGCGGGAGGAAGGAACAGCGCAACTCCCTATCTACTATGTGAGTAGGGTAATGCAAGGAGCATAGACGAGGTATTCTGAGATTGAGAAGTGTGCTCTGGCTGTGGTCGTGACTGCTCGAAAGTTAAGACCTTATTTCTTAAACCATAAGGTGAAAATATGAACGAACATGCCATTGGGAGAAACTCTAGGACGACCATCAGTTTCAGGCAGGCTGGTAAAATGGGCGGTCGAGCTGAGTGAATATTCCTTGTTGTACGAACCAAGGAGGGCCATAAAGGCGCAAGTGTTAGCTGACTTTATTCAAGAGGGCACGAAAGTCGAAGAAGAGGTCGAGGGGCTATGGCAGTTGTTCGTAGACGGATCTGTGGCTCAAAGTGGGGCGGGATTGGGAGTCGTCCTTGTCTCCCCCAGAGGCGACTATTTAGAATTCGCAGCAAAGGTGGGGTTCAAGATATCCAATAATGCGGCTGAATATGAAGCAGTTATAAAGGGCCTGAAATTAGCCAAAGCGGGGGGAGCTCGGAAATTGCAAGTACATTAAGATTCTCAGCTGGTGGTTGGACAGTTTCAAGAAGGGTTTGAGGTTAAAGAGGACCGGAGTGGATGAGATGAAGAGGTTAAAGGAAGAGTTTGATTTGTTCGAGTTAATACAAATTCCTCGAGGAGAGAATGGTCGAGCAGACTTATTGTCGAAGATTGCCCAAAGCTTGGTCGACTGTAAGAGCAGGAGCGTCACTCTATTGCATCTGGAGAAAAGTGTGGTCGAGACGAATGTGGCGGAGATCGAAGAGGTAGAGGATTGGAGGGCCCCGATCTTGGAAGAGTTGAGAGAAGGAACGATGAAGGTAGTCAGGAGGTTTTTCGAGCATGGAGGTATCTTTTAAAAGCGGTCATATAGAGGACCACATTTGCGCTGTGTCACTAAGGAAGAAGGTCGATACGTGCTGAGGGAGATGCGTGAAGGTTGCTGCAGCGATCACAGTAAATCGGGGGTCTTGGTCGCAAGGATCCTAAGAGCAGGATATTTCTGGCCGACAATGAGAGAAGATGCGAAAGCGATGGTAAAAAAGTGCTTGCAATGCCAGAAACATGGTCCCTTGATCCATCAACCGGCTGAAGCGATGACAACGATGAGTGCCCCTATACCCTTCGCTCAATGGGGCATCGATCTAGTGGGGCCAATGCCGCAAGGAATGGGACAAAGAAAATTCCTAATAGTGGCGGTCGATTATTTCACGAAATGGGTGGAGGCCGAGCCCTTGGCGAAGATCACAGAAGAGAAAGTAATTAAATTCCTATATAACAACATTTGCTGCAGTTTTGGTGTACCCAAGGTGTTGATTTCCGACAACGGCACCCAATTCAATGGTAAGCGGATTCGAGCGTGGTGTGAAGATATGAGAATCGAATAGCATTTCGCCTCTATAGCTCATCCGCAAGCCAACGGCTAGGTCGAGGTAACCAATCGGATCATATTGAATGGGTTGAAAACAAAGTTGGAGAAGGCCTCGGGAGCATGTGTCGATGAGTTGAACTCTGTGTTGTGGGCGTATCGCATGACCCCTCGGTCGACCACTGGAGAAACCCCGTTCAGCTTAGCTTACGGAATGGAGGCATTACTGCCAATCGAGATCGAGATGCTATCCCAGAGGTCGATTGCATACAATACAGAACAGAATGAAGACTTGATGATGGCGGCTTTAGACACTATCGAGGAACTGCGAGCGAAGGCAGCAATCAGGGTGGAGGCGTATAAGCAGAGGATGCGCGCGGCTCACGACAAGAAAGTGAAAATTCGCAGACTTCAGGTTGGCGATCTAGTTTGGAAACGTGTCGATGTGCTCAAGCACGTGGGAAAGCTGGAGCCGAACTGGGAAGGACCATACCTGGTCGAGCGAGTGCACGCAGGAGGAGCATACTCGCTTAAGGATGCTGAAGGCCGGTCACTTGCCAGGTCATGGAACATAGCTAATCTGAAAAAATTTTATGTTTGAAAGTTTTTTTTTTTTATATACATATTATTATTACCCCTGTACGACGTCTGGGAAATTTGAACAAGAATGTAAATCGCAAAATTTATCAAGAGGCAATGAAGTTCAGTGACCTTTCTGATTTTATCTATTTTATCGCACATCTTCTTATGCTGGGAATGTTGCTACAATTGAATTGCAGGATGTATGTGGTATGGTTTGATCTAGAGGTCACTTGTTTAGAACATTCCTTGGGGTGGGCAGGTTGGTCGAAGACCTCATGTTTAGAACATTCCTCGGGGTGGGCAAGTGTGAAGACCAAAACCCACCATGAATATGGCCCTCGGGCTGGGTGGTCGCTTGTTTAGAACATTCCTTGGGGTGGGCAGGTTAATCGAAGACCTCTTGTTTAGAGCATTCCTCGGGGTGGACAAGTGTGAAGACCAAAACCCACCATGAATAAGGCCCTCGGGCTGGGTGGTCGCTTGTTTAGAACATTCCTTGGGGTGGGCAGGTTGGTCGAAGATCTCCTGTTTAGAACATTCCTCGGGGTGGGCAAGTGTGAAGATGAAATCCTTACTATGGAGACTGGAACGTAGCGCTGAAAAGAGAAGAACGAGCCTCAAGGCATAAACCCAGAAGAGAAATCTGACGACGTGGAAAATTCATGTTTAAGGCCACAAGGCTGGATGGTCGCATGTTTCGACCACCTCCAAGGGTGGGCATGTGTTCAAAAATTTTAAACCCATCATGTTTATGGCCACAAGGCTGGATGGTCGCATGTTTCGACCACCTCCAAGGGTGGACATGTGTATGAGAAATGTATGATAAAATAAAATTATCCTAAGATCAAGTTATTCGAAAGAGCACGAGGTACTATAACAAAGGCATCAAATAAAGAGTACGAAAGAGCATTACGGGAGATAGAGACAAACTGAAAGAAAAACATTTCCATTTCAAGGATATTACAAAATTCATTAAGGTACATAGTTCGATTCGAGAAAGACAAAACGAAAAATACAACGCTAATCTATGGTGGAGGAGCGGCGGCGGAGTCTGCATTGCTCGAGCTAGCATTAGGGTCGAGCTAAGGGCCGGTACCAGAGGTCGAATTGCAGGCTTCATTAAGAGGGCGTCGTCGAATAGATTCAGCCATTGCGACCAACATGGCGGCTGGAGGAGTAGCATCATCGGGCAGGGCGAAGGTCCTCTTCAAGATTTCCGATCGGCCTAAGGTTCTCTCGAGCTGCCCCGACCACCACTCATGATCGAGCGGCAGGGTGGGATCTCCGTGAAAACCAGCGGGAACCTTAGGCAAAGCATCCCAGATGGCCCCGGGGTCGAGCTGCTCAAAGTCATCCTCGGCAAGCTGCTCACCAGCCTTTTGCAGGGCGAACTGAAAAC